GGGGGAATGTATTCATTCCTGCCTTTGCTTTTCTTTTTCACACTGTAAACTGCTCCAACTCTTTTGGCTGGAATTTTCACTTTATTTCTTTCACTTGACTTACTTTTGTTTCTGGATGCCTTCTGGCTTCTTCATATCCCTTCTAATTTGGGAGCTTTGAAACTGGACACAGAACTCTAACAAAGACCTTTCGAACTTCGGCAACTTTAACCAAATCAGTATGCACGAAGGGAGGTTGCAAGTTAGGCTAAATTATTTTTCTAGTGGGGCCAGAATTTGTACTTTTATGGTCTGCAGACTTCATTGATATCATGTTGACTGAAGAGGACTTAATATTGGTTTGTTTTAGGGTGCAGAGGATTCTTCACCCCTGCAAGTCTGCCCTTCCTTTATCAGCTTTCAGCAACAGCTGTTGTTAGGATTTTGAGGCATTTCTCGGACATCAGAATGTGGTGGATTTTTGTCTTTATATTTTTTTAGTGTGTGAAATATTCCTCTGTCATTCATTATTTTAGGCTGCACGCATTTCTGGAAGGTCTCCTATGTGTCAGAAACCATCCTCAGCTTTTTATCCTGAGGAGCCTATGGGGTGTGTGGGCCAGTCGGTCATAGGAGTGGTGTGTGCAGTTTCTAAGCAGTGTGGAAGATTTCCCATCCATAAACCACCCCGGCATGCCTAGCTTTCCCTTGCCAGCCCCCAAGAAGGAGCACATCAAGCAGAGATAATGGACTTTTCTGCCGTCCTTATTCATTTTATTCAATAAAATTCCATTTCCCTGTAAGTGTGAGCTTCGTGTATTTGTCATTCAGTGGCAGTGGTTCAGTTGTAGAAAGCTGAGCGGCAAGTAAAAATACACGTTTTTCAGTCATGGGTACAGGGTTTCCTATTGGTGAGACAAAAATACTTTGAAACTAGGTAGAGGTGGTGGTTTTACACCATTGTGAATGCACTAGCTGCCACTGGATTTTTTACTTTAAAGTGGTTAATTTTATGTTATCTGCACTGCCCCTCAATTTAAAAAAATGCAACGCTAAAAAAAAATTCACCTCTTGAGTTCAGCAGTTAAACTGAGCTCCTTGGTGAGCCAGGCACCCTGTGAAAGGTACTAGGGATTGAGAAAAGAGTAAGAAAGGAACTCTTCTTCAGGAACTCAGCTTCTCATAGAAGAGAAATTAAAATCGTTTTAGTACAACATAATACCGGTTCCACCATGAAGATGTACATGTACAATGAGAGAAGGACTAGAGAGGAGAAGGTGTGAAACTTAGGTAGAGGGCAGGGAAGACTTAACAATACTCCATCTTTGCTTTGTGCCAAAAGACAAATACATGGAAAAGCTGTCTATATTTTTGCCTGATCAGTTTTACCATAATGGCATGTTTTTGTCATTCCTCATTTTTCCAAAAGCAGTACACTTTGAGGTCCCATTCTGAAGCGGAGCAAGTGTGAGGTTGGGGGTACTGAATATGCATAAGCAGCAAATCCAGTCTAAGGTTTTTGTTCTTGCATTGCACACATTTATGGAAGCAGAGACTAATATGTAAGCATTAAGATTTATTTTATTTCTTTCCCCAGTGATTATATTGATAGTGAAGTATCTTTGTCTGAGCACTTCAGCAATATAGCTTTAGGCGCCATAAAAATGCATAGATAGATGGCTACCAGTTCAATTAAGAGGTCTTAACCCAGCCTCCTATATGCAAACTCTGTCTATTTTAGGTTTAAATTTCTGCTCATAAATTTTTTAAAAACCCAAAGAAACTATGCTTTTCAAGGCTAGGTTGAAGTCTAAGCTTCCTTAAACAAAAAGCAGACCCCCAGATGGGAAAAAATATTGATAACTCTAATGTACTTCCTTACAATAGCATTTCCAACTCCATCATTTAAATACACTCTAAATAATATTCTCTTGATTGTAATATGCAGCGATTCTGACTTGCAACAAGGGAATCAGAGAAACGCACTACCGTGGGGACTCAGATAGAAGAAGGTCTTCCAGTTATATTTATTTGGGTTTGTTTTATGGGGCCTCCAATTATTTCAGGTAGTAGAAATCAGCTGACCAGGTGATAATCGTCTGCAAAATGTAAAACATAAAGTTACCTGGCTTCTGACAAATCGCTGTCAAGTATGTAAAAGGGAAAAGTAAATGAATTGCTAACCTTCATAATAGTGTTTTAAAGCAAATGTTTAAGAAAGAGATCTTTCATTTGTATCAATTATGTATGAATAGAAATTAATTTGTAATTCTGGTCATCCAGCTGGTTCCATTCTTAACATTGTTGATTGGTTGGTTGCTTGGTGACCTTTGCAATACCAGAGAAAGTGCCCATGCATACTCAGTATGGAATAGCAATGGGACTGTGTAGTTTTGTTCCTTCTTAATAAGCAATGGTATTAAACAGCTCAGGGAAGAAAATAATTATTGAAGTTTGTAGATCATTTAAATGTTCTTCTAGATGTTGGCTTTGCCAATCCTTTATCAGAATGGTGTATTTTAGTATGCAGTCCTCTAACGGATAACAGTGTCTCCAGCTTTTGAATAAAACTGGAGAAATTAAATTCCGTTCTCAGTTTGGCTAGATGCCTCCTCCCCTGTTTGTATCTGAGCATGCACAAGAGCGCTGCGGCCCCTTGCAGACCAGCCCTGAGTGTTTTCCTGCTGCTCAGTTGTTTACTGTTTATTTTCCTGTAGCTTGGAAGTTTAAACTTTCTTTGAACCTACCTGTATCCATCTTTTGTTGCTGTTCATGTTTTCCATAACCATGTTATATTTCTGTAAAGATAGGGTGGCAATCCAAACGTAAAAGAAAAGTAAAAAGAACAAAGAAGTCCACTTTCAGATTCTAAAAAAAAAAAAAAATATTTTGGTTCTTTCATATTCTTTTTGACTTAATATTAACGGATAAATGTCAGAAAAAAATTATTAGCTTTGTATATCTAAATTAGGTGAGATTTAAAAAAAAAAAAAAAAAAAACCTGTTTTCCCCATTTGTTCATGGAGAAGTGATTAATCAAAAAGATGCCGCAACTCGAAGTAGAACATCGGCTAAGCTATCATATGGAAACTTAGGTTTGCTAGTGTTAGTCCAAAGAAAATGTTCTATTTGGCAAAATTTTTGTATATGTATTTTGGGACATGATCAGGAAAATTTTTAACTTTCCGAATATCAAAATTAGATCGTATTTTACTTTAAATTTAGTTATAAATATTAATCGTTTTAAAATCCCTACAACAAAAAAAATAATGCAGCTATGTCTTCCTCCAAACCCAAGTTGAATTACGTCTCAGAATATTTAATTTATAATTTTAATGGTAAAATTACAGTTACCTTTCCTTAGAAAAAGAAGCTAGTCGTGCCATATGTTTTTGTTGTTTGCTGTAAAAGTAATGTTAACTTATGGAGTTAAAATTTCAAATATGGGTCAGTATAAATTTGTTTACATTTTCCAGTTTTTGTGCAGGTCTCGTATGTACTTTTGTAGTTCGTTCTTAAGGATTTCTCTAAAGATTTTTGAAATACAATGCTTTTTATTTGTGTTTTCACTATGCAATTGTTAGAAGGTGGTAAAAGCTATCACTTTGCCAGACTTAAATAAAAATTCACCTTTTCACATCTTTTGTTTGAACCTTTGAATCCACGTAGAATTTTTACTATATCTACCAGGTTAAGATTATCTGAAAATTTAAAAATAGACGTTTCCTTTATAGTACTTTCATATAATTAAAATCTTCATTTGCTTAAAAGCAGGGAACCTTTCTAAAATAAATTAGCATTTTTAGACCTAAGGTCACGAGTAGTACTACTTCTTTCTGCAATTTCTCCAGGAGAGGATGTTGATACTATAACTCTGTTTCAGTAAAAGTAATATTTTCAGTTTAATCACAGTTAGGTGTCATGACCTTTTGATCTTGCATTGAACTTCATGCAGAAATGTGGTCAAATTTCAGACAGCTAATTCTAACCCTGTGAAGTCAAGGTAAAGGCAAGATCCAGACTTCCCAGAGACATAGAGGTGTTTCTATCTTTTTTAAAATTTGTTTGTTTTAAAATAATGTTGTAAATGGTTTCAAGTCTCAGAAATTACTTTATGTCAAAAATTTTCCGCTTGAAACATTTTGCCTGATTTTCCTATCTCATCCCACAAAAAATATATCATAAATATGTTTGCTTCTAGTTCTGTGAATTTTTCTTGATCTAACTTAATTTTTATCTAATTTTAAAATTAAATGTTACTTCATATTAAATTGTCCCATTTAGAAATTAAATTGAGTTAATTTTTAGTTTGAAAATCTGATTATATTTTTTAAATGGAAAATAAATTTAATTCAATAAAGGTGTTCGAGAACCTGTTTTTACTAACAAGCGCGTCTCAGATCTCTCAAATGCATTAGTACAAAAAAAAAAAAAAAAAAACTTACAAAGGGAGATAAACTTATACCTTTGGAAAGACTTTTCAAGTAATTTCCAGTAAATGCACTAGAATATTAGAACTCTAGTATTTAATGGTGTTAGTCTGCGTAGTCTGTTGCTGGAATATAGAACTAAATATCAACAGAACTTGTTACTGTTGTTTGGGTTGCTTTTATATACCAGCTTCAAAATATGTTTTGACACTTTATTATGTTCTGAATCAAGCTTCAGATGTGTGTAATGAAGGATGAAGTCTTTATCAGACTCTAGTGTATAAATAATGGCGAAGAGCAGTTTGGAAATGGTCTCTACTTAAGAGCATGGTTTCTGAAGAGTTTCTAGATACGAGCTGGCACAGACCAAGCACCGCTGGAGGTGTCAACAAAATCGAGCGTCCTCCCTAAAGGCACAGCTGCTGCTTTTCACCCTTTCTTTTCTCTTTTCCATCTTTCCTTCTTTCATTTATCATGTCATTTCTTGTAACGTTCTCCTTATAGGCTGAACCTTTTGAGAAATTCTGGCACCTCTGATCCGCTTTCACTCGCAGACCCTGTAATTTTTGGCTGTATTTTTATGTTTTTCAGATTCAAGTCAATCTGAAAGTCCCAGCCAGCCAAGTGACGCTGACATCAAGGACCAGCCAGAAAATGGTAAGTTTAGCTTGGGGCTCTAGCTGCTGCGTTCAGAGTACACAGCGGCCAGCAGCCAACCAAGTACCAGCATCTGGGGTCTGTCCTATGGGTGCCCCACAGTCGGAACAATTTGGAAAACTCAAGGGAAAAACTCAAATAGATTTCTTTACGGAGGACAATTTCTTCATTCTCTGGATCGCTCTAGCAGCCCCAAACCCTTTTTATCCCACCCCCCTCAATCATATCAGGGTACTTACTCATGAGAGCCTTAGTTACCAAGAAATTTGAGTATGAATTAAACTATGAGAGATGGGATTGATTTACCAAATCAGAAGCTTTTACAGAATAAGAGAGGAGCCTTGGCTTTTCGTTTCGTTTTAGTCCCTTTTAAAGTGGCAAATGCCCCATAATCTTCTTCACTAGTGACGTAAGATCTTTCATTGATAAGTATTTCTGAGGCCTTTTAGGAGCACAACCCTTTGCTAATCGCTTTAAGAAAATCATTTTTGCCTTTGAAAGATTTTTCCACTTTAAATTGTCTAAAAACAGTGAAGACACATGACAGTATTAAGTTTCTCAGTTGCATAAATATACAAACTTTCTGCTACAGAAATACTATTAAAATATAATGTATATTTTATATATGAATGTAATAGTATGATACAGTAAGATACTAATTTTGTGGTATGCACTTCAGGTGTGACAATGATTGTCATGGGTTAGAATTTTAAACTGAATAAAACCGTCAGTTTCAATAAAAACAGAGAAGGGAACTAGCAGTACCTGTCATATACTAAGCATTGTATTAGGTGCTTTCACAAGTATCATCTCATAAAATTGCAGTGTACCCTTCTTTGGTGGTAGAACTGAAAGCAGTAATAAGAATACTTGACTGTGAGGTAGGTGCCTACGAGGGGAATATAGCATGGTGGTTAAAAGCTGAGACTGTGATACCAGATCTGCATTCAAATTCCCCCTCCGCTATTCTTATCTTTGTAATATTGGATAGGTTATTTAATCTCTCAGGACATTGATTTATTTCTCGTCTTTAAGATGAGGTAATAATATTACCTACCTATCGGAGAATTAAATGAGATGATGTATATAATGCGCTTACCATAGTATCCTTCACATCATTTGTATTTTTTAAAAATGTTTGTTGTTGTTTAATATTGTTCATTATTTTCCTTGTCATCATAATGCTACTATATTTTCATCTATTTTATTTATTTATTTATTTTTCAATAATATTTTATTGAGATTTTGGTGAAAGTTTACACAGCAAGTTAGGGTCCCGCTTGACAATTTCCAAACAAATTGTTCGGTGACATTAGTTTCATTTATCACAAAGTGTCAGCATTCTCTTTCATTGTGTTCTCTTTGTTCCCTTTCCAGTACTCTAGTTTCCCTGCCCCTTTATCTTCTCATCTTTGCTTTTGAGTAATTGTTGACCTTTTGGTCTCATACTGATGGTTTTTAAGTAGGGCTTCGATCATATAGGTGATATCCTTTATTTTGTGTGCCACTCTGCTATTTTGCAAAATGGTGATCTCAGGGGATAGACTTGGTTCTAGGTTTAAAGAGTATCTCGGGGCAACAGTCTCAGGGAGTCCTCTGTTCTTTACCGTTCCAATTTGTCTGGCTTTTTTTTTTTTTTTTTTAATAAAAATTTGAGATCTCCATATTTTTCTCCCATTCTATCTGGGACCAACTATCGTGTCCCCAGTCAGAACTGGTCAGTGGTGATTGCCGGGCACCATCTAGTTCTGGTCTCAGGGTAGATGAGGTTGTGGCTGGTAGACTTGTTTCTTCTCTGAGCTTTTGGTTATCTTCTTAGTATTTTGCTCCTGGGGAGTAGATACCTGTGGTTGTGTCTTAGATGGCTGCTCGCAAGCTTTTAAGACCCCAGATGCTACTTACTTCACCGGCATACAGATCATGATTTTTGGTTTTCGTCTATGTTAAATGGTCTCCTTCCCTGATTTTCTCTCCCTTGTGTTGTTCTGTGCACTATTCCATTTTAATCTCCTTCTGATCTTTTGGAATAGATTAATGAATTGAATTACGTCAGATGGAGGATTAGAGTATACCACATTAGAAATCTTATCACTAATTTTTCAGAATTTGTTTCATTTTCTAAGCCTGAAAACTTCTTTATTACATTGTCAGGCTGTAGCATCAAATATGAACTATCTGCCTATTCCTTTCCTTATCCTGGTATTTTGGTGATATATATATATATATATATATATATATATATATATGCCCATTGCTGTCGAGTGGATTCCGACTCATAGCAACCCTATAGGACAGAGTGGAACTGCCCCATAGGGTTTTCAAGGAGCACCTGGTGGATTTGAACTGCTGACCTTTTGGTTAGCAGCTGTAGCTCTTAACTACTATGCCATCAGGTTTTCCAATATATATACACATACATACATGCATATATACTTGTGTGTGTCTGTGTGTGTGTATATGTATACATATGGAGCCCTGGTGGTATAGTGGTTAAGAGCTTAGGCTACTAACCAAAAGACCAACAGTTTGAATCCACCAGCTGCTCTTTGGAAACTCTATGGGGCAGTTCTACTCTGTCCTATAGGGTTGATATGAGTCAGAATTGACTTGATGGCAACAGGTTTTTTTTTTTTTTTTTGAGGGAGGGGTTTATACATTTTTTATATACGTTTTTGAAAATATATACATTTAAAAAAATCAAAGTTGTCTTTTCAAATCAGGCATTAAAAGAGAGAGAGAGAAAGAGAAGAGAGGGAGGTATCTGGAGATTTGTTTTTAGGGTCATAGAACAGTTACATCTTATTTTTTATCAACATTTTAAATGAGTGATATTTACACACTGGTTTCATTCTTTATTTTCCACTTGGCCTGTAGGTGAAGCCATAAGGGTTTCATCTTTTCATGCATTTATATATAATCTCCCTGAAAACATGTCCAGAGATATTCATTTTATTTGCATTCTAAATAATTTGTGGGCCGTCGGTGGATGTAGTTCACGTATTTGGGTCTGGCCGCCACTCTAGCAGGCCTGTGATTCATCTGTCTTCATAAAATGGCCGACAAGCTGTTCACATGCAAATATAAATTGAGAGCATGAGAGGCCTGGCATGCCTTTCTGGAGCTGCTTGCAGTACCGATATTGTGCATTTTCTATTCCAAAAAGCAACCAAGATTGAGCCTGGATTTTCCAGCCAAGGGCATGGAGATACTAGCCAGGTTCACTTTTAACCCTAAATTATTTGGTGCTACCTCAAGGATTTTCAGTAGCATTTTGAGGGAATCATGGAAATTCAAAGAAAAAAAGTACTAATATCTAAGAGAGAAAGTAACCAATTCTTACGTTCCAAATTGCCATTTATTTCAAAGAAACAAGAGAACCTGCTTTTTCTTAGGCAGCCGCAATTGAAGCTCAGACTAGAGGAACATCAGCCTACTCTCGGCTTCCTCTATCTGCCTTTTGTTAATGTCAGATGAAGTTATTGGAGGAAAAATGATTTTATCTCTTCTCTAAAAACATATAATCCCTAGAGGGAAATCCATGAAGATCTCAGGATATTTACATGCGTTAGACAACTTTCCACTTTCTGGCTTTGCCTCGATCAAGGGAGTGTTCTCTCTCCTTTATCACCCCAGGTTATAAACATGAGTTTCTAAAAGAGTTTTTTTGTTGTTATTACTGATTGTTATAAGTTTGTTTTTAAGAGGGAACTCTCATGGACCTATCAACAAAGTTCTGAGAACTTTTAGAATCTTGGTGGATGAAGAAGTGACAGATTTTGGTTTTTAGATAAAGCGAAAACTCATTACTCCTTTATGTATGTGGAAGGGGAAAGAATATTCTTTTTATCCTAGCTCTTAAAGAGAAAGATAATGGGAAATGAATGGTATTTCCCTAGTAACCCATGGAGAATGACTAGACAAATGGTAACATGTTGTTTCATCCAAAACCATAAACTAGGCTGTGTAACTTTACCTAAAGTGGATGCAGCTGTTTCTTCCCTGGCCAGCTAGTCTGTTTTTTTAGTGGAATTTTTGTGTTCTTTTCTCCTACTCCCTTAAGAGTCAACCATAAAAGAAGCAAATCTTTGTCCAATTAGAGCATTAGATGGGAATTCTGAAGAAATTATCAGAAGCCCAGAGATAAAATATCAGAATCTTTGAAACTCAAAATTGGTATAATATAAAAAACTTTGCCTCTAGGGTCAAACAGACCAGGGTTCAAATTAAATATAGCTGGGTGACTTGGAGTAAGCTATTGCCCCCAATCTCAGTTTTATTATCAATAAAATAGGAATACTCCAAGTAACTACCTTGTGAGTATTGAAATGAGAATATGCATATGAAACAGCATATGCCCAATTCATAGTAAGGACTCAAATGTAACCATTACTATTCTCCAGTCAAAGCTTATCATATCTGTAATGAATACACATATTTGAGAGGTCAAGAGCTGGGAGCCTTAGAGTGGAAGGGGATAGTGACAGAAATAAACTAAGACTTTTGCAGGCATCCCTTATAGATAACTATTCTTCTCCAGCATGTCAGACGTAGGTCTCCTTCTTAAATCTGCCCACAATCCTCACAGCACCACATCTATTTTACTGTTTAGTTCTATCCTCACATTCTGCTCATCTCCTATGAATTTGAGAGCCAAGAAACTGCAAAAGTGATTCACAGTTGCTGGTACCTTCAAAACGATGTTGTATGTGGTTTTAGCACCACTACTAAGTCTGTGGTTTTATGAGTGTCCTTTTCTCTTTTTGGGCCTCCATATCACCTCTAAGATGATTGTATTCAATGAATTGTATAGTCCCTTCCACTTAAAAAATTCTTCTGTTCTATCACATGGGCCTCTCAAGAATGGATGTCAGAATAAAGTTTCTAAAATCAATTTTTCTTAATTCTGGAAAGAAGGGGCTCCTCCAGATGTCCTTAATTTTAGCTGAGTTTTTCCAAGGCACAAACCAAATAGAGTCTGGTTTATTAAAAACTATAAGCCG